AGAGGAGGTTTCATAATCATGAATCACCTTTTTGAGAGTATTTAAAGGTCTTTTGCTAGCTTTGGTAAAAACAATCAGATCGTCAGCATAAGAGAGGTGAGTGATAATAGGTAAACCAGGTTTAGTATGGAAAATATGATCTTCTTTAGTGCCGAAAGCACTGTTAAGATGCCTAGTAAGAGCCTCAGTAACCATAATAAATAGAATCGGGGAGAGGGGATCTCCCTGTTTCACACCTCTAGAAGGTTTAAAAAAACCTTGGGGGATGCCATTAATAAGGATAGAGAAATAGGCTCCGCTAAGGTTGTTCATAATGAGAGATATAAAGAGGTCATGAAAGCCAAATTGTTTGAGGGTGCTTTTAATGAAGTGCCAAGACATCCTATCAAAAGCTTTTTGCATATCAAATTTAAAAAGAATATTATGACCTCTGATTTTATGATCAATATGATGAACCAGCTCTTTAAGCATAAGAATATTATCAGAGATGTCTTTACCCTTTTGAAAAGCAGATTGTTCATTGGAGATGATTTTAGGAAGAAGAGGATTAAGCCTAAGAGTCAAGATTTTAGTGAAGATTTTGTTTAGAAAGTTACTAAGGCTTATAGGTCTAAAATTAGAAAAATGTTTTGCATTGTTTTCTTTAGGAATGAGGCAGATCAGAGTATGACCCACAGCACGAGGTATAGGAACACCACACATAAATTCACAGACAGCATTGAATAAGTCATCTTTGATAATATCATAGCAGTGGTGATAAAAGGTACCATCAAAACCATCAATACCTGCAGAGCTCTCTTTATTAAGGCTGAAAACAGCATTCCTAACTTCAGCCCTACTAACAGGTTGAAGCAGAGCCTGATTATCAGTGTTATTAATCACAGGTTGTATAATATTAAGAAAAGGATCAGGGTAGAGGTTAGGGAGATTGGGTTCAGCAGTAAGGAGATTAGAAAAGTAATTGACTGCTTCAACACAAATAGATGCATTATCCTCAATGCAAGTGCCATCATCCCTTTGAATACTATCAATATGTAACCTGTTGTGTTTGGCTTTCATAGAGGTATGGAAAAATTTTGAGTTTCCATCCCCATCTTTGAGCCATTTTACTTTAGCCTTTTGTTTGTAAAAAATTTCAAGGTAAGAGTTATAGTGGATGTAGTTAGCCTGAGATTGATTTAGCATAAGTTTGTCATTTTCGGACATAGTGGAGGCCACCTTATCCTCCCAAAAGGACAGATCAGATTCGGCTTCAGAAAGTTTGTTGAAAATGTTTCCAAAAGTAGATTTATTCCAAATTTTAAGATCATTTTTCAGTCTTTTGAGCTTAAGAGAGAATTTTCTCATCCCAAAACCCTCACAAGGAAGATTCCAGGATGTCTGAACTTTATTAAGAAAATCAGTGTGTTTGGTCCACATATGCTGAAATCTGAAAGACCTGGGGCCATCTTTAGATAAAATATTCTCCTTCACTAAAATAGGATTGTGATCTGACACACACCTATTAAGTTTTTGAATAGACAAATTGAGATTTAGATTATCAAATTCAGGAGAGGCCATAACTCTATCTAATTTTTTAAGAACAAGGCCTTTTTTTCTTTTACCAATCCAGGTATAGGGGCTGCCCTGGAAGTCAAGATCTCTGAGATAATTATTGTTAATGAACTCATTGAAATCCAGAATGTCATACTTGCAAGGGATACAATTACCCTTATACTCATGCAGATTACTGATCACATTGAAATCTCCAGCTAAGAGCCAAGGTTGATTGCCAATAGAAGCCTTAAAGTCAGACAAGTTGGTCCAGAGGTCTTGCCTTTTCATCCTGTCATTGCTAGCATAGATAATGGAAAGAAAAAAGGTAGTATTGTTATTTTTATCCTTAAAGGAGATATTAACAGATTGTTGTAAATCAGAAATAATTTGGATGTCAGAAGTGTTGTTCCAGAATAACCAAATCTTATTATAATTATGAGCATAGGAATTCTGAAAATGAAGAGCATACTTGATAGAGTGGATCTTATTATGCCTGATTTTAGGCTCAATAATGGCCACAAAGTTTATGGAATGCAGTTTACAAAGAGTTTTCAGTCTGTCCTGAGATTGTCGATTACCAATCCCAAAAATATTCCAAAAGAGTGCATTAATCATAAAAAATGGTAGTTTGGGCAGATTTCTTGGGCCTCAATTGATAGGGTTCTCTATGAAGAGAACCATTACTTTTATTAGGGGCAGAGGCAAAGGTAACTTTTTGATGTTTGGTTTTTTTGGGAAGGTCAACATCCGAATGGTATGTTCTGTTAACCTTATCCAATTCCAATTCTTCTATTTCTCCCTCTTCTAAGTCCTGATACAAAGTAAGGTCATTAATCTCAATTGTAGTATCCATCAGATGAGGAATAGTATCAGGGGGTTCAGTTTGAGGGATTATATCAGGGGGGAGCATGGGATGGGTTTGCATTTCAGTAGGGATCGGGGAGTTCAAATTAGGCTGATTATCAATATTTAAGGGTTCAGAGATAAGACTTCCCTCTACATTTATATTGATTTCTTCTTCACATATCTCAGTGACAAACTCCTTTGTTGTGGATCCATCTAAATGTTGTAAAGCATCTTCAAAGATCTCTGTTGGAATGTCATCATTTTTTCCTTTATCCACACCTGAGGGTTGACCTGCTTCAAAGAAAGGCTCTTTTCTTTTCCATTTAGTCACCGGGTTAGTAATGGTACTGACAGAGCTATGAATCACCATTTTACCTTTGTCTCTAGACAGGTTAGGGTCTTTAGGGTTATCCTTTACACCCTCTTTAAGGGATTGGGACTTTTTTGGGCAGCTTCCTTCATTGTGGCCGATATGAAAGCAACATCTACAGTAATCAGGAAGCTGCTCTTCTATAGTGATGTACTGCCAAAATCCCTCGTAGCCGTCGTCAACGAGCCAGAATTTCTCAGGTATTGGTTTGAGCAGGTCAATTTCCACCTGTATTCTGGCTAACGACGGCCGATTTTTGTTCAGCGTAGGCTTATCGCATCGGAGGGGTTGACAGAAATTAGAACAAAGTTCAAAAAGGAAATCCTCATCAAATAAGTGAAAAGGGAGATGGGGGAAATGAATCCAAACAGGGACGAATGAGGATTCTCTATCGGGGTGGTATCCAGGATACCACCTAGAGATCCGCATCGTAAACCCGTGTATAATCCATGGATGCCTGGAGCGGCAACGAATATACTCGTTTTTGTCCGAAAAGGAGATAAGAATCTCACTTTTATACAACAGACCAATAGTAACGGATTTGAAATTAAGAGCCTCAAAGACCTTACGGATAGAAGATAATGGTGGTCGGCCGTTTATGAAGGATCCCACCAGAGAGTACTGAAGGTCCGCCGCTAGTAGGTCCGACCGAGCTTTTGGTATCTTGACCGAGAAGCAGCCATTATGTTTTCCGACCACCAGCTTCAGCGATGGGTCATCCTTGGGGCTAGGCTGTTTCCTGGAATCGGAAACCACGGAAGCCCAGGTTTTTTGTTGTGGCGGTGGCTCCCCCATGGAGGGGGAGAAGAAGAAACGGAGGACCAGAAAGATGCTAGAGATTGGAGAGAGCGAAATTGAAGAGAGATAAGTGAGTCATGTAAAAGTATATTTTATTGTAAAAGTATATATTCTTATATATATTATTAAAAAATCATAGTCAAAGTAAGGTGTGTGAGTCATGTAAAAATCTCAATATTACAACTTTTAAATAACGAAGTAAGTATATTGTTTAGTTCTTAATTCTAGAAAATTAATGTTTGATACTGGATTTATTATGATTTACAAGATATTGACATTTAGTATTTATGGTTAATTAAGTGAAACATTTGGATATACACTTAAGTCTATTGCTATAATACTGATATGTTGATATTCCATATTTTTTAATGTTTTATTTTCCTTTTCGCTGATATTTCATATCATGCATTCCCCATTATTAATGTTTTATTTTCCTTTTCGCTGATATTCCATATTTTTTACTTCCCCAACATGGCAACATTTGCATTTTTTCCTTTCGTGGTATATATGTGCATCTTTAAGAGCTCGTTTGGTAACACGAAAATCAGCTGATTTGAATGATTCTGCTGAAATTTACGAAGTTCTGGCTGAAGTGGCTGATTCTGCTAATTTAAGATAAAATTATTTTTAAAATATATTTTATTAATAGAATAAAGAAAAAAATATATGTAAAAATAACTAAAATGGTCATCTACAGTAACTTCAGCCAATACAGCCAGAAAAGTAACTACAACCTTACTTTTTCTGCTTATTACACAATTCAGCACATGAAAGCAAAAGTTACGTGTTTGATAAAAAAGTTGGTTGATAAGCCAAATAAGCCGAAAAACAGTGTTGTCAAACGACCTCTAAATCTCAAACAAGCTCACAGTTTTGGTTGTGGTTGCTTTTTTCGGTATTGTGTTTTTTACTTTCATCATTGAAATGTAACCAAAATAAACTTATTGCACCACTAGATAAAATACATTGAGCACCACATATGTGCACGTGCCCTAACAGCGCACTTATGAACTGACACTACCTACAGTCCTACATAAATCTCCACCATTGGTCTACTAAATACCAAGGTGGCATTTTTGTAATAAAACCTAACTTTTCTAGGGTGCAACTCGTTGAATGTTAATGTGCAACTGCTATTTTATGAGTATATAATATGCAACACTTTGAACCTCAATATGCAATGTAAATAACGTCAAGGTGCATCGTACAAACATTTGCACAATAAGCACACTTTGTACTTGATCTTCAAATAATATAATAAGAATTCTATTATCATCTGAGTCATATTGAAGTCGTCGTGTGACCCATCACATTCATATAGATCACATGATTTTTCTTCCACATTTAGTAGGTTCATAGGATTATTACTATTGCAGTTTATATGCCATAGATAAGTTCATTGCTGTATGAAATAAAATTACCTACAAGACTAAACTTTCAACAAGTAGGATTCATAATGAACACTATGTTCAACCGAAAACAAATTTATAGATCCACCTACTTCAATCATTTTATACATCACCAAAAAGGCTTATAGATTCATTATCATTTACCATAATGTTATTTCAAAGAAAAACTAATCATTATATCATCTTAAATTCTATTCTGATCTGATAACCTATTTAAGTGTTATAAGCAAAACAAAATATATGCAGACAAAGATCAGCAATATATTGGATGGATCTCAAAACAATACTGATACACGCTTCAATAACCTTGCAGCTGTGCATCTCCCTTGTGCCCTGCTATTCAATCATTTGCAAAGTCTCAGTAATTGGTTAGAAAGTTTAAAACTTTAGTCATAATAATAGCAATAATAATAATAACAACAATAATAATAATAATGATTATAATAATAATAAAACAAATTTGCCAGCATTGCAGCAGAGAGAGATAGAAAGTTACTGGCAGTGGAAGTAAGAGGGAGATTTCTAATTTAAAATACTCGGGTAATCACTCAGATTACTTTGAGTGATGATTCAAATTCAGTCTAGTGAGCTCTGAATGATCAGAGCATGAGCATGCACAAAGAAGAAACTAGATTTCCTGGATTTGAAGTTATAGCAGAGTTCAGTTTGAGCATGTGATTTAAGGGTCAGAAACTGCTAACGAAGCTCTTTGGCTCCATTTTGTTTAAAGGCAGTCAGGGTAACAAGGAAGTACTATGAAGAAGGTGACACTGTGACAGTGAAATCTTGCTAGTCTAGGAAGTCCTTGCACATAGCGTTTGATTTGTCTTAAAGAAGGGTCTACTGCTCAACATAAATTATGTGAAAAATAGCAAAACTTTTGTATTTATATTTATTAATGAAAAGAATAACACAGAATTGAGCAGGGAAATAGAAAAAGAACAATTCATACCTATATAGCAGGAAAGAGAGATAGAAGGAAATGCTCATCTTCCATGAAAATTTGCAGATTATTTATCTTCATCAAGAAATTTATAGAATCCTCGTCAAACTCCACCATGTAGCCCAACTTGATTAGTTCAGCAAGCTCCCACACCTCATCTTCATTCTCACACAAAATTCCCTCAGAAACTTCTTGTGAGAAATTTGTAGCAAACTCTAGGACACCTCTATGACCATTTGATTTATTCACTTCTGTGATGAAGAACTCCGAGCTCTCTCTCTCCCACCGCATCATTCTGCTTGTTTTAGCGGTCAGTATTTCGCCTGATGAAAGTGACAGCTTATACAAAACGGGGATGGGTTCTTCCATTTTCAGAAAGGTGGCATTCACAAGGCGCCTCAGAAAGACGTGCCTCTTCTCCACTTCCATCTCGATGTGAGGCTGAGCTAGAAATCCAAGAATCAGACGGGACATATTTTTCGCGACATAGAACATTTCTGGATTGGCCTTTTCCAGTCCAGTAGAGTCTATTGGAAAAAGTTCTTTGCAACGGACTGTGTCTGACAAAGCCTGAACTCCAACTTCCCTGTAGATATTGAGAAGCTTGGTTCTTGGCAAAGACGACTGGCTTGGCTGTGGGTACCAAACAAACAGCGGGTGAGCAGAACTCTGTTCGAAAAGCTCCTTCATGCAGAGATTATCGGCAATAAAAACATCACCTTTGTCAAACAACAGGATCCCGTCTGAACCTGAACAAACCGGAAATTTTGATAAATTCTCTTCAATAGCTTTTTGTGTCCTTGAGTTCCAGTGTTCAACTACAAACTCCCAAAAAGCACAGCATTCAGCAGGCAACAGTCCCCTCTTTGCCGACTCCCACACTTTCCAAAGTATGAAATAGTCAACCAGAGAAGGATTCTCTTTAACTCCCAATTTGCTGAAGAAAAGCAGCAATTTGCCACTGTAATACTTTTCTAAAACGAACATTTGTGAACCAAAAAGACCAGTTTTGTCATGAAGAACGCAGCTTTGAGGTTTCACCCAGTTTCCACTATTCTCCCCGGTGGGAATCCATATCTTGATAGTTGAATTCACATCTTTATTGCGGCTAGTAGTAGGCCACCCTTGATCATTCAAGTATGTGTATACTCGATTGATTGTGGTGCGATTAGAGTGAACATCAAGGTAGTCGGCGATCAATGAGCATCCATTTTCCACCTCAACCACTAACCCCAGAGCTTCAAGTTCTCTTGTGTATGACGAAATAACTGGACCATAAAACTTTTCATCAATGAAGGGTCCATCCTCTTGCTTCAAGGTTTCATTCCAATTTGAATCAAATAGCAGACACTCTTTTGGACATCGGTAGCCTGCTTGTGTCTTGATCCATTTCTGATCAAGCTTTTCCCGGAGAACGGAGATCCGCTTCTCATCAACATCCATTTGTAAATTCTTCATGCACTTCAGAAGTGAAAATGCAGCGGGAGATGATATATGACTGGGATTTTGAGGTAAACGAAGGCTTTCTGGAATGAACTTTGAGCATTTTTTGAAAGTGGTAGCTACACCCATTCTCTTAAGCTCGTCTTTGTACTGAAAAATGTCCTGGCCATAGTAAGCATCATCAAGAAATGGTAATAGAGTGATGGACGTAATTGGTTCCCAACCTTTGCCTATTGATAGATACCTCCAGATTCCAGAACCGTTACAAGAAGAGTAACAAGAAATCAGATGAAGAATTTTATTCAAGAAGATATCGATTACAGAAAAGAAACAGAAACAATGAACAAGGCCGAAGCCCCCAAAGCCGAAGCCCCAAAAGATCGAGATGTTCAGTCTCGTATCCTTCCCAGTCCCAAGACCAAATGTCTAAAAGCCTTCCCTACTAACCCCTCATTACATCTATTTATACTAAAATACTATATAAGCCCTTATTACTATTATTATTATTATTATTATTATTATTTCTATTATTAAACTAATAGGTAGGTCCCTATCAATACTCCCCCCCTAAACATCCACCTTGCCCTCAAGGTGGGCGGTAGGAGACAGCCAGAATCTTCTGCTTCTTCCTCTTCCTTGCTCCTCTCCCTTCCCAGTACATAACTGCTTGCTGGACCAGAAGCTTTGGTATTTGTTCCTTCCAAATCACTGCAATTTCATTTGTTGCAGTAGCCTCCAAGCATTCACTAGCTGCAATTGTTTCCTTGTTTTCATCTTCAAGGATTCTCAATTCTGGAGTTATCAATGTGCTGGATGCATATTTGATGTTATTCAAGTTACTCAACTCATTGTCTGCAACAAGCCCCATGCAAATTTCTCCATTTACAATCCACTTTGTCAGGCAGTTAGTATCAATGATAGAATCATTTGTAATAGCAGGATTTGTCTTATACAACTTCAACAGCCAACATAAGTTGTGCACAACAATGCTACCATGCGATGTCAGATTTTCTAACTGCCAAGGACCCCAGTCTGGCCTGTTCTCTTCTTCCCTTTTCCTCATAAGAGAGCCAAAAACTCTTGCAGCTAAAGAACGAACTTCAGGGACCACAACAAACTCCTTTATGTTATAAACCTGTCCCTCAACATTGCTGCCAAGAGCAAACTTATCTGTCCATTCCAATCCAAACTCTGCGGAGCTCCAAGATATAAGCTTGACAAGCTGGCGTTTAAAAAGACAGCATTCTTGACTAAATGAAACATCAGTTGAAATACAAAATGACTGCTCATAGGTATCTATTTCCCTGTCATCCTTAGCTTTGTTTTTGGGAAAAAATTCAGTCAATAGCTCTAGATAACGAGCAGACACACCACTTGCACATTGTACAATGATACAAAAACTGTCAGCAATATTAAATTTACCCTTTATTATCATCCCAGGATTGACCTCTGAATGAGTGAAAATTGATCCTTCAATTGCACTAGTTTGTGGCTTATTATTCACAAATCGCATTGCCAAGGCATCCCATAATAACTCAAAGCCTTCACCGACCAGATTTTGGTCCTGACTTTGAGTATAAGCAGCACACTTCTCCCTCCATGGAAATGATAAGTATTCTGTTTCAGCACGAACAAACACTCCTGTCCTTTTTGACTTATCTGCGTTAGTGACTTCCTCCTCCTGCTCTTTCAATTCTGACAACTTCAACTCAGTATTCATCATTGGCGATAAAGTTCCCTGTGATCCATTTTCGTATACAGCTTGGTACACAGCTTGGTCTACGGCTATTAAAATTGATGAAGTGTGCGCATGGTAAGGAACTGCTAGAGTCGACAACTGAGAACTGAAAGAGACAGAATCTGCGAACGATAAAGGTGAAAAGACCTGCGAACTCAGGGAAACAGCTTGCGACGAAGATGGGAATTCTTCTCTCACTCGCGTCTTTCTTGGACGCGAACTGATAGCAGGTGAAGAATTCTGAGAACGGTGAGGCGAAGAGCTAAGAGAAGAGCTATGTGAGGAACTCTGCGAACAACGATAACAACGATGCTCAACTGTCGATGAAGTTGACGATTCTCCTCTCACTCGCGTTGGACTTGGTCGTGAACTGCTGGATGATGATGACGTTCGCGACTTCGAACTGTGAGAGGAAGTTCGAGTCCGCGAACTGTTAGAAGCCTCTCGCGATGAAGATCGGTGCGATCTGGGAGCTTCTTCGCGCGACACAGTCTGCGCACTTAGCGATACCCTGGGGCAATTAATTCGCATCTGCGAACTGGTCGTTGTTGATGAACGTCTTCTCGCCTGAAATTCGTTCATCGCCTCTAACTGTCGGGTCATCTTTTCTGCCATTTTTCTCATATCTGTTAATTTCTTCATCATCGATGTCTGCTCCCTCTCCAGCGACTCCATCCTCTTCTCCATTTCTGGTGTACAAAATTCTTCCATGATTCAGATTCTTGGTCTGAAGTATGGCTCTGATACCAATGATAGATACCTCCAGATTCCAGAACCGTTACAAGAAGAGTAACAAGAAATCAGATGAAGAATTTTATTCAAGAAGATATCGATTACAGAAAAGAAACAATGAACAAGGCCGAAGCCCCCAAAGCCGAAGCCCCAAAAGATCGAGATGTTCAGTCTCGTATCCTTCCCAGTCCCAAGACCAAATGTCTAAAAGCCTTCCCTACTAACCCCTCATTACATCTATTTATACTAAAATACTATATAAGCCCTTATTACTATTATTATTATTATTATTATTATTATTATTATTATTTCTATTATTAAACTAATAGGTAGGTCCCTATCACCTATCAAGATGCACTCTTCCGGTGTGCTGGCAACTCCAAGCCTAGTTTTCAGCAACTTGGCTTCAAGAATGCATTTCCCAATACAGCCTAACAAGTCGAAACCTTCTTTTTCAAAATTCCTATAGCATTCAAGAAAAGAGAGGGCATTGCTCTTACTCAAAGCACATTTAGACACATGCTGCCAAAAAGCATGACGAAATGATTCAATAACTTTCTCAAATGTAACTGTTACCCCTAAATTGAGTAGTTCATTCTTAAACTGCAAGATTTTGCTTCCATAGAACTTTTCATCGATGAGGGGGAAGCTGTCGAAGACCTGGAGAAGGCAAGCCCAGGTTGGATCGGGCAGGAAACATTCAGCAGGAGATTTGTACCCATGATTCACCGTTTTTAGACATCTATTTCCCTTTAGTGCAGTGCATAGCCTGTTAGAAGGATTTAAATTTAGGTGACATATACACTCTAGTGCCATGAGTGCGGCTTCAGCACCAAGTGAAATCAACTTTTCTGAGGGTTTCAAGTTGGCGACAACTAGCTGATAATTCTGTTTTAAACCAAAGACAACACCCAGCAACTTGAATTCTTCCTTGAAAGCTTGAATATCCTGACCATAATAATTTTGATCAACAAATGGGATGTCGCTGTACAGCAGCATCCCAATCGTTATCAAAGAAAACTGATTGCCCTGGGCTTCTCTTACCTAGCACCGTCTGCAACCAAATTCCATCTTTAATACTGATGATGAAGTCATCTGGCGATAAATACTTATTCCTCAAGTGCCTAATGAAATTAAGCATGGAAAATACATCAGATTTTGTCAAACTAGAAGAAGCGACCAGAGACATAAAGTGCTTCCCCATAAATTGACAAGCTTCCTTAAATTCAAACATGACACCAACAGTTCTCAGTTCATCCTGATACTTGTCTATTGCATCACCATAAAAATCCTTGTCAACTAATGGGATATCCACACGTACAGATCCATTCTGCAAATGATGTCCCCATGAAGAGGAATGGAAGAAGGATTGTGATGGAGGCCTATATCCATGACCACCGCATAGACAGACTCTAAGCCAACGTCCTTGTTGCATGGATGCAGAGAACCTCTCTGGCATTGACATTCGATTCATTCGTATATTACGAATCCAATCTAGGAGCAGGAACACATTTTCCCTTGTTAGCGGGGAAGACAAACTGGATAGTGCATGATCTGGAGGAGGCAAGTTGGGAATATCTGAAGCATGAGCATGAACTTTTAAAAATTCGAGCAGCTCCTCTTTCTTGGTAAATATATCAGCATATCTTCGAGAATGTAAATAGTCTCCTCCAAGCTCAATGTAACCCTTACTTATCAATGGATTTGAACCGACCAGTTGAATCCATTTACTTCCATTTGCAGGTACAATAACACCACCTCTTTTTCCATAGACCACCCGTCCATAGCTATCAACCAGAGGCATTTCACTGCATAGCGAACCAACTTGTGTAGCTGTGAGATAAAGCTTCACAAATGAGTGATACAGGAAATGAGCATATGCAAGGACAAGCTTTGATTCATGAACCAATGAGTCACGGATGAGAATTGCATAGTCATGCACGTCAACAGAGTGAGCATTTACCTCACTGAGAAGCCACTCAAACACACTCTGCCACTTAGAACCACTATGAAATGCTTCTTGTGTTGGTTCAACAAAGAAATATCCATTGACACATCGAAATTCTTTGTTCCAACTAATAAGCCAAGATATTTGATTCGATTCAGTGGAGAGAAGCAATGTGGGATTACCCTTGGAGGCATCGTTTGTGCTACACAGCGCTTCATGCCCATTCATGTCAACATACTTCAGTAATGGTATATTCACCATATTAGTCATTGAGAAAGACTGCGTCCAGTTTTTAGCAACAAACAACAAAAGCTCCATGTAAAGATCTTCAGACACTCCCAAAACAAGATCAGAACTCTGAATGCACCTTGAATACCACTCATTATCAACACGCTTCACTTCCAAAAAGTTCAAAATGTGGTTGTACTCCTCACAATCAAATGCAGAATTCAGAATGTGTATCCCGTGGGAAGATATGTTGTGCAAAGCAACACCTTGCTTCCTTGCCTTGCTCAGCAAGCTCCAAAAGACAGGTTTTAGCCTACCCACTTGAGATGGTTTCCGGAAAATCCTTTGTTCTGTGTAAGACTGACAAGGAATTATATCCTCGTGAAGCAGTTTTTCTTTGATTGAACAACTTATGGCATTAAGGCTTGAATAAGAAGAGCTGCTGACAGGTAAAAAGCCGAACATATTAACCAGGGTCCTGACCGGTACGTCTTGGTTGTCTTTGACTAATGAGGTGAAAGCCCCTAAGAAGGCCAGTGGAACACAGTTGAATATTCCCTGGTTCCATTTGTCATCTAAAAGAATGGCTTCCCTCGAAGATGACAACATGAAATCAGCTTGAATTATAAATGAAAAATTTGTGAACATCTCTGTAGGAAGAAAAGCATAGATGCCGGGAGAGCTAAGCCCCCCGTTAAGACGCTCTCCATATGGAAATGCGAGCGTGATCACCCACTCATCAACATCCTTTCTTTTATCAACTCTGTGACCTTGCGGAACTGGAAACCTTTGTCTCCACATGTGGTAGCTGCACTGTTCTGTGTTACCCACCTTTTCATCAGCAGAGAGGATTAGCAAGTAGGACTCAGCATCAATGTTTTTCTTCTTTACAAGGTCCCTCTCGCTTGAAATAGATATGGCGCTCACCGTGTTAAGTCGTTTATCTTCATTGGCTTCTCTGACAGAGAGCTGCCTTATCTTAGTAAGGAACAAGAGGAGCTCAGGATGAATGTTAGAAAGTTGCTGCTTTACAGGCTTCACCTTGTCGGATTTTAATGGCAACACTATAGTTGTGGTAGGGAGTCTAGTCGAAGAAGAACCATAGATCAGTTTTATGCGTGCAAGGATAGGGTTCTCATCTACCCACTCTGGTACAATGTAGCCAACGTTGCAATGACGACAAGGTTCCTCACTAAATCGAATCTGGTAGCCATTGCTAAATATGTAGGGCCGAGCAGAGATAAGAAATACACTCTTAAAACCAATCCCTGGAACAGAAAAGTGAAAATACACAACTGTGAGATGAGAAAGCTGTGACGGACTGACGGGTGTAGGTAAAACATAACATACTGAATCAAACAAAGGTAGCATATGCATTCCTAAGCTAATCTTGTGTAACATTAGAAAAAATACAATATAATCAGCTTCCACTGTCTTTTACTGAAAAGACAATATGTCCAAAATTTCCTCTAGGGTAAGCAAATTAAGAGAAGGAATCAAAATAAGCAGAACACAATTGAATTTATTTTTTACCACAGATGTGATTAGTATTCATAACAGGGAAAACACTATGTCTATGCAAACTCCAAATCCATGCATATGCTACTTCCATGTTCAGAGTGGGAAAAAATCATGTATTGTCTCCTATTGTAGACTGAAAAACACAGTAACTTTCAAGGAGTTTATATTTGACAGAGACTCTTAACACCGAAAAACTTAAACTAACTTTCAATATACATATTTTGGAGTCCACTCAAATCCATATTCAGTACACCCCTCTTACTCTTGTGAATGACAGAGTGAGCAATGATGAAACAAAACAGTGAATAAGCACTCCATACTTACCTTTCTCGCCTATATAGCCACTTTTGCGGTTGGCTTTCTTCGTGGAACGGCCTACGCTGCAAATGGAGTCAATGTTCCTGCGGGAAAACCCTTTTTCGTTGTTGAATATCAGCAGAGTGGCACTGGCTCCCGTTTCCGTTATGTCTTTAGACGTGATGACGAATTCCAGTGAAGGCTCGACTCCATCCCCGTACTCATTATCCTCCGCATTCTGTAATTGTTAATTGTTATACGTATTTTGCAAATGCAATGCAGTGATAAGAGATGGAGTTGTGGATAGAAATGAAGGCGGCGAAGAGTAAGGAAAGTAGACTTCCTGGGTCCCACTGACCTGTACGAGTTCCATGAGAAAGTGGACATCTTTGGAGTAGAGCTCTGCGGAAAGGTTTTTGACGGCTTGGTGGAGGTCCTCCGTCAGAGGGTTGGGCTCTCCTCCGATTGAAAACTTGCATCTGCGAATCTCTTCTATGTGGTCTTTCGGGGTCGTCGTCATCTATGGATTGCCCCTTTTTACAGTTAGTTGATTACTGAGTGAATCATGGAAGTGTCTTATGAGCGGCAAAGTGTACTCTGGACCTTCTAAAACAGAGGCTACGAAGTTCAACGTAGAATTCAAAATTATGATGGAAAATATACGGATTACGGAGTACGGAGTATTTCCCTAATAATATTGCTCCTCATTCCGATATTGACTTTTGCTAGGTTTTTTTTTTTTGAACCAATTCAGTAAACATTTTAATGTTGCCAAAAGGGGTCTCAACTAGGGGTGAGCAATTCGGTTTACGGTTTGGTTTTCTTCGGTTTCGGTTTCGGTTTGGTTTCGGTTTATTCGGGTTGAGAGAATTTGTACCAAATTAAAACCATTTGTGTTACGGTTTGGTTTCGGTTCGGTTTCGGTTCGGTTTCGGTTCGGTTCGGTTTGAAGTTCGGTTTACCAAAGTAAAAAATATTATGTTTAATTTAGTTTGATTTGATTCGTTTGCTTATGTTTATTATTTTATTTGATCAAGTTCTATATTTTAGAATTAGAAAATGAAAGTAAAAGTCCATCTCATCTTTTTTAATTTATTGATTATTTAAATAAAATGTAAAAGAAAACAAAAGACAGAAAAATAAATAATAAAATATTATAAATTAAAACTTCTAACATCTTTTTTATCACTACAAAAAATTCACTTCTTACAAAAAATAAGACAGTTGATTATCATTTATAATATCACATAAAATATTCAAAAAAAACCTAAAAGAGTCGGTGGTACAAATGTTGTAATATTCACAATTTTATTCAAATGAATCATGTAAAAATATAAATGCAATTTTCTATTGTGATCGTCAAACATAATAAATACAAATATGTCGTGTTAGCTAACTTTGTCATAACGAATGTGTGAAATGTGTAAAAGTTAAAATGATACGAGTATATGCTTAAATATGTATTTTTATGTCTAAATTATTTGTTTATATCTTAAAAATGAAGAGTGAAGATAAATACAAAATATATACGATAGTATGTGTGTGTGTGTGTTGTTCGGTGTTCGGTTCGGTTTACAGTTTTTCCATTTTAAACCAAACCAAACCAAAGTACCAAACTATTTGGTTTGAGCAAATGTTTACCAAACGTAAACCCAAACCAAACCAAATCAAACCACCAATTTTAATAATATTTGAAAGTTTTTTTGAGTTTCTTTAGTTCGGTTTTGTTCGATTTTTACCGGTTTCGGTTCGGTTTAGTTCGGTTTAATACAGTTTGGAAGAAATAGTACCAAACTCAAACCAAATTGCATACGGTCCGGTTTCGGTTCGATTTAGTTCGGTTTGGTACGGTTCGGTTCGGTTAAACCAAACCGTTATGCCCACCCCTAGGGCATTGTTGGAATATTAGGTCCAGGCCCAATATCCCTAGGCCCAAATCCGGGAAGAAGCAGCAGGCCCAAGGTAGTCCAGAGAACTCCCGAACGGCATTCGGGATAAAACTTATACTTGGAACATTCCGGGAAACAATTATGCCAAGTACCAAGGCCCAGATATCGATCGGCGTTCGGGATACTTCCATAACAAGATAACACCTATGGCGGGGTCCCACACGCCGAACACCTTGCCCGAACGGGCGGTCAGCAAGTGGAGGCCGCATTTAATGCTGGATCATGGCAGCCGCAAGTGGGGGCATGAATGCTTACATGGCAGAGGTGACAGCCTACCAGATTCGGCCACGTGTCCACCTTACCCATCCCCATTTTAGTATAAATACCCATGTTTAGATCATTGTAAAGGGTTAGCATTTTAATACTCAGAGCTTAGCAATAGATTTACATCTCTTATCCTTGTATTCTTATAATCATCTACCGTTCGGGTAGTTCCAGTGTAATCACATATTTATTGAATACCAGTAAGCTCCTGAGTTGAACAAATATCTCACTGTTTTATATTTTATACACTTTCCAACCCGACCAAATATCCCTACAATATCCAAGGCTTGTGTTGGGCTTTCGGATCTTCGGGAATAAACCTCAACATTGGCGCCGTCTGTGGGAACCTTTCACTAAAAGTTCCAGGCAAAACCGTTGATCTAAGCACCATTTTTCTGAAAATGGCTAGAATTACTACCGCGACACCGAGTTCTACATCCAGGGGCCGAGGAGGCAATAGATCTTCTGAAGGGTGGTCCATGCAGGGACACGCCAGTGGCAGTGCCACCCGGGAGTTCGAGCAAATCATCCCTCGGGACGTAAGGATGAACCCTCGGTTGATGAGGGAGATGGCAGAGGCCATGCAACGCATGGCGGATGAGCAGGAACAGGGATACACCGATGAAACTCGTGAGCCACCATCCCCGGTGCGTCCCATGCCATCATTCGACGAAGAGGAGGACATTGAGACCACCACGGCCTCAGTTCATTCCGAGGAACACCGCAGGAATCACTGGAGGGCCCATGCCCCCAGACATGGAGAAGCACCAACCAACCAAACCCCGTTCGTACCTCGCAACGAAGCCCAATACAGGGAACCCACCCCCATGGTGAATCCCGTTGGGCAACACTTCCAATATGTCGAGAGGGACGGGGAGCGTTTCATTCGGAGGAGGGCAAACACAGCAGCCCCTCCCACAAACAGGACGCCGGAGTTTATGGAGGCAAGGATACCACTAACTCCCCGAATGGCACAGGAAGAAGAAATTGCCGAAATGAGGAGGCAAATGGCTGAAATGAGAGAACAGATAAATCGGCATCCCCAGCAAACCCCGCCCGCACGGGTTGGGATTACTTCTCCCTTTACCAGGGAGATCATGAACGCCGAGATTCTGAGGGACTGCCGTCCCCCAGCCGGCCTAACATACGATGGGGTGGGAGATCCCCACGTACACCTGAGGACTTACCAAGGTGGCCTCATGCTATTAGGGGCCACGGACGCAGCAATATGCAGACTGTTCTTCAGCACCCTTCGGGGACCAGCCCAGGAATGGTTCGGGACATTACAACCCGGATCGATCGGAAGCTTTGCAGAGCTATCAACCCTATTCCTAGCCCAATTCGCCTCCAGCACAACCCCGAAACTACATTTCGGGTACCTGACCAGTGTAAGACAGGGGCCTAAGGAGTCAATCACCGGCTTCCTAACCAGGTGGAGGACCGAAACCCTGAAGGTGACCGGCATGACAGATGAAACTGCCATCCTTCTTTTCATCGATGCCCTTCAGACGGGGGGATTTATACAGGGAGCTGAAAAGAAGTCCGGGAACCAGCTACCCGGACATCCTGGAAAGGGCCAGGAGCCATGCGGCCCTGGAAGAGGAGATCAAGATACGGGACCGAACGATCCCTCAACCCGCTACACGATTGGCGGATCGGCTTGGGCCCGCACCAGCACCCGCGCCCCACCGACCGAAGGTCAGGCACTTCACTCCGCTGGTGATGTCCATCGCCCACATCTTCAACAAAGAACCGGATACCATTCCACCCCCAACTGATACAGGGATTTTTATGGGGACGGATCCCAATGCATACTGCAAGTATCACAAACAGAATGGGCATCAAACACAGTACTGTAAAGCCCTGCAGGTCGCCATTGAGGATTTGATCCATCAAGGGTACTTGAGGAAGTATGTGAGTACCAACCCGAACGGCCCTCCCCCAAACCAGCGTCAGAATAGGAAACCGAACAGCTGGAAGAGAGACAGCCGGCGTGACGCTGAGCCAAGAAATGATGCCTACGTCCCCCCCTTAGACGAAGCGGAGGGTTCGGGGAATCCAGGAAAGAAGCCAAGGATGGAGATCAAGGTCATCTTTGGTGGGGGAGAAACGGGGGACACGAATGCCGAACGAAAAAGATTCGAACGAGGGTTATACGTAACCACCGTGTCCACCCCACCCCAGAAGAAAGGGAGGATGGAACCTATCACGTTCGGGATGACAGATTTGCCCAACGCACCAAGTCCGCACAGGGACGAATTGGTGGTGAGTATGTGTATTGACAATGCCCTGATCCGCCGAATATTGGTGGATACGGGGAGCAGTGTAAATGTGTTGTATTTACACACGTTCGAGAGGATGGGACTCAAGCGGGAACAGCTGACCAATCTGAAGACACCATTGGCTAGCTTCACAGGCAACTGTATTGAGGCTGAAGGTACCATCCAACTCCTAGTCGAAATTGGGGATGAGGCGCACCGAGCAGTGGTGCGTATGATGTTTGTGGTGATAGACATCAACTGCGCCCACAATGCCATACTGGGTCGACCAGGACTGGAAGATTTGGAGGCAATAACCTCCGTCCGGCATTCTTGCATCAAGTTCCCCACTGATACTGGTGTAGGAGTGGCCCGAACGGATCCGGCTACAGCCCGAGCATGCTACAGGGAGGCCTTGAAGAAGATAAACACCCGCGGGATGCGGGTAAACAGCATTGATACGCCTACACGACGGACGGAGGTCGAGGGAAACCTGAAGCCTGCCACCCTCCTTGAATATATTGAACTTGACTCCCCCTCTGATCGAAAGATAGCGATCGGAATGGACCTGGAGGAGGAAATAAGAGGAAGGGTGGTGGCAGTACTCAAAAGGTTCCAGGTCCTGTTTGCTCGAGGGCCTGGGGATATGTCGGGGATTGACCCAGGACTCATTTGCCACAAACTAGCCGTTCGGCCAGACGCCAAGCCAATACAGCAAAAGAAGAGACACCAGGCGGCTGAACGGCGGGAGTTCACGAAACAAGAGGTGGCCATGCTGCTGAAAATAAGGCACATTAGGCCCGTCATCCATGTGGAATGGTTAGCTAATGTGGTCCTTCCCCGAAGGGGTCCACATGGAGGATGTGTGTGGACTACTCTGATTTAAACAGTGCATGCCTCATGGACCCTTATCCTGTACCAAGGATTGATTTGCTGGTGGACGAGACAGCCGGGTGTGAATTACTAAGCTTCATGGATGCCTTCAGAGGGTATCACCAGATCTTCATGCACCCGGACGACGCAGAAAAAACTGCATTCGTCACCTCGGATGGCGTGTTTTGCTACATAGTCATGCCGTTCGGGTTGAAGAATGCGATGGCTACCTTCCAGAGGATGATCGGGATGCTCTTCAAGGAAGTACTCGGAGTGACCATGGAAGCCTACGTTGACGACATCCT